GCTCTATACATGAGAATAATACTTCAAAGAAGGTATGATCTGAGATTTATGAAGCATCGAAAGTTGCTGAGGTGCGTATAGTTTTCTGGTTCGGGACAGTGTTCCAAAATTTAGAGAAGTAGCCCTTGCAATTCCAGCGACATGATTGTGTCAAGACATATTGGTATCCATTTTAACACCCTACATACTTATCGAAGCAGAAAGCGGAATTGTCTGGCCTGACATTATTATATCCGGTTCGGAAACAACCGATGATTGGGGTTTTGTGGCATTGAATTGAACGTGGCTACTTTCACCCCAATTCAAAATCACTTCTACATCCTCATCAAGATACGCAACCCTTCGCTGCCGGTGAAGATGTGCCTCTGTAGCCGATGTCCTGGAATCCAAATGGAATGATGAGACAAGTGTGCCGTTGTCAGCAAAGCAATATATTGGTTTTTTTTTTAATACATCGTATTCGAAAGATATCCATTGACGGCCACTTGCAGGGAACATTTTTTTCTGGAAGCTGAAGAGCCATACACAAAAATGATCCGACAAGTCATAGCATCAAAGTTTGGCCAGCAAACCCTCAAGCCACACACGGTCATAGAACTCAGAAATATCAAGCGCAACAACTCTCAACTCTCCATGTTTCTCGATTGCGTTATTCCAAATATGGGTGACAAACGATAGGAAGTCGCCTGATACTGATAGCAAAGCGACAGGTCTATAGTTATTTGGAAGATTTTTCTTACCCTTTTTGGGAATAGGCTGAACGCGAACAATCTTCCAACAAGAAAGAAAAATCTATATCTTAGACAGGTTGAAAAGTCTGCAAAATACTGGTGCGAGTTCAATTGCGTACTTTTTAGGTATGATGACGGGCACTACATCGCCTTGTTGATACTGAGCTGTTTCAAAATTCGCCTGACTAGACGCTGTCGGAAAGTAATTTCCGGCATTGTTGTAATTGAACCATCTGCTTATATGTTAGTGGTGGAATTGTGGATTTTATAAAGTTCTGATTAACAGCTTTAGCTACCGACAAGAAGGATCTAGACCCATTGGGATTGGCAAGCAGGTCATCCCTAATTCTCTGATTGTGAAGTTTTTCGCTTTCATTTATCCTAAGTTTGCAGCTGTTGCTAGCGTTATTAAACCTAGTTCAGTTTTCGGCACTGGTATTTTTGCGCAACTACCGGTAGGCGAGATTTTTGAAGACGACAGCTTGCTCGCAATTTTTGTTGGACCAAGGTTCGCCGTTAGAAGGTCGTTTCATTGAAAAAGGAATATATGCATCCATTGATGGTAGAATAACTTTCGTGATTTCAGAAGCACAAGTTGATGGATCTTCAGAGCTGAAACAAATATCTAGTCAGGGGAAATTTTGGAAATTGTTTTGAAGATCCTCCCTTTCAGCTGATGTGCCATATTTCATATTTCTCCCCAAAATTTATCTGTTATTCACTCAACACTAAAATAAGTTTGTGGTCAGAAGATCCCAATGAAAATATTTCGGTGACTGTGTAAATTAAAAAAAATCTGTTTAAAATCTGTTTTTCCGTTAATCAGCTGTCTCTCCATACGAACTACAACTCTCAGAAGTTGAGAAACTTGTGCGAGCTAAGGACTAACGAGGTCTTACCTTTCAACGTGTTATTCCTAACACGATTGGTTGTTAGGTTAAGATCCAGAAGACTAGCATATTCTCCATCACGGTCAGGAATCCTGGTTGGCTCATGTATAATCTGAGTAAGTCCACTGCTTATTGCAAAAGACTCAGCTTCGCCACCTTATTCGTCGTTGATATTTGAAAACTTGAGCTACTCTATATTGTTAAGTCACCGAATATGGAGATTTCGGCACTGAGATGAATAATTTGCAGAAAGTCAATGGTGTTTGCAAGTGAAGAGAATAGTGCCCTATATTGTGTATTGACAAACCCAGCTTATGAATATAGAGATCTGTGATATTATTTTTAACCACATAACATTAAAATTTCGGGGTTCCAGCATTTCCCTTCGTTGACAGAAGAGATCGCTTCTGATAAAAAGAGGTATTCCAAAGTTGACGGGGTTTATTGAAGCACTGGCTTTGGACTCTGTGAGTGCAAGAATATGAGGACTATTTGGTGCACTGAGTTTATATTCGAGTTGAGTCTGATGTTGCAGAAATCAATTTTTTAAGTTGATAGTGGGCCTCCTAGCAACTGCAGTTACCATCATATTTCCCTGTGGACTGATGTTAGGAAAACCCTGCTGACTGTCAGAAATATTGGTTTTCGAATGACTTCTGTAGGATGATGCTCTTGAATAGGACCCCACCCGGAGATCCGATTGGGGAGCTATTTCACTATTTCACTCATTTCACGGAACGTTAGCCCAAATGCAACTTCGCACTGCCTAAGCCATTGCGATGGTATTTCACCGGACGATGCATCTACCATCTTGAAATAACAATTCAATTTATGGAAAAACTAAGAAGTCTCTGTTCATTTTTTTGACCTTTGTACCGTTCCCGATGATTGTTACGTTTTATCACATTCACTTGTCTCCATATAGCTTGTGGTTAGTTGTTAGGAAAAATGCAAATATTCTGATACCTATATGCATTTCAGTACGGTTTCTCCAATTAAACTCGGAGAAATTTCTCATATCCAATCTTAAGAAGTGGCCCACTTCACAAAATTGTTCGTCTATTCAACTACATAAAATATTTCTTAGTACCTTTATGTGGAAAAATATCTGAACTATTACATTTTCTATCGGTGCACATTTTTAATGTGGCAACATAGAATAAAAATATTCGTTCACTGTCGTTGATCCGAGAAATATGTTGTCAACTTCAGTTTGAAACTTGTCACTCTCAATTTTTCATATCTAACGGAAGAAAATCACATCTTAGATTATTAAAGACTGGGTAATCCCTGTGACGTTTTGGAAGCGAACAAAGACATTACTCCAACCAACACGTGAGCATGTGGATCGCCACTATGAACTACGGAATTTCCCCAATCACCTGAAGTTCGCTATAGTCTTCTATCTTAGCAAATAATGGGTACACTATTTTATCTCTCAGAAAGTCGCATGTTTTCGAAAAAATGGATGAGAGTCTTCAAGCATCTGACAGTAATCGATACCGTTCCAATATTTTTTCTGGGAAACGATGATTTCATCACATTGACGACACAATAAACATTACTTATGAATTAATGAAATGAAATTACAAGAAGATTGAGAGCGCTGCATTTACATTAACATTGAAATATGTGATCGAACCGGTTCAGAGAAATGATACTCGCGAAATTCGATTAAAGACTGGGTAATCCCTGTGACGTTTTGGAAGCAAACAAAGACATTACTCCAACCAACACGTGAGCATGTGGATCGCCACTATGAACTACGAAATTTCCCCAATCACCTGAAGTTCGCTATTGTCTTCTATCTTAGCAAATAATGGAGGTAGGTACACTATTTTATCTCTCAGAAAGTCGCATGTTTTCGAAAAAATGGATGAGTAAACGATACCGAATGATATAGGTGAAAAAATTTGAAGATGAAATCAGGAAAATTCCAACTCTGACGAATGTTTTGATAAAAAAGTATCAATGAAGCTCTATTCAAACTATAGTACATAAACTGCTCAATACGAATATTTGTCTATAATAATACTTGAAATGGATACTTCAGTCACTTAAACTATTGGAAAGCTTTGGGCTTACGGTGGATAACTCTCCATTTCAAAGAATACATAGGTAAATTGAAAAAAAAAATTTATGGAAAGAACGATGGTGATCTATACCTTCGATGCCAAGTGCTTCTCTGAATTAGAAGACTAGCATATTCTC